CCCCTCCCATTCATGTTACAAGTGATAGACAAGTTCATAACTTGCTCGAGATACTCAAAACTCATAGAGTATGTCTTTGTGTATCAAGCCGTAGCAAGGTGGGAACGGTTTCAGAGGAAAGGGAAGAAGCTGATGAATGTTTTGAAGATGAAGGTGATAATGAGTTGGTTGGAGATGAAAATCATGATGGGGAGGAGGATGATAAGGAGGATGATGCTGAAATCTCTGTTTGCTATAATGTTGCTGAAGCGGACGAGAATGGTGAGGATTATAGTGTTTATGGAAAGGTTAGAGATGAGGATGAGGAAGAAGATGGTGATGTGGTTTTTGAAGATTTCAAAGATACATATGTTATTGAAGGAGGACGATTGAATGGTAACGGTATATATGTCAACAAGAGTTTTGTTAGCAAGGATGCACTGCTTTCAGAGCTGCGGTTGACAGTAATGAGGCGTAAGTTCTCCTTCAGAATATACAAGTCAACGAAAACTCTCCTTGTGGCAACATGTCGGGTTAGTGGTTGTGGATGGAAGATAAGAGCGAGTGTGAAACATGGGACAAAAACGTTTTGGGTAACAAAATATGTGGAAAAACATACATGCTCAGTGGGAGACCGAATCGCTCAGCGAAGACACTGTACTCCGAAGTATGTTGGTAGGCTTTTCATTGATCGTGTTGGAATCATTGATGGGTTGAATCCGCAGCATATCAAAGATGCAATGAAGAACATGTTTGACATGGAGCTTGATTACACCACTTCATACATGACACTGTTATATGCACAAACATTGGTGAGAGGAATAGCAGAAGATGGGTATGCGCATCTGCCATCATATCTCGAGCAAATCTCCTTAGCAAATTCCGATTCAATCACGGCTATAGAACTTGATAATATGAATAGATCTAAGTATCTATTTCTCTCTTTTGGAGCTTCTATCAAATGTTTTAAGTATCAGCGAAGGGTCATTGTTGTGGATGGGACTCACCTAAGTGGGAGGTATGAGGGTACTATGTTGGTTGCAGCCGCACAAGATGGGAATTTTCAGATATTTCCATTGGCTTTTGGGATCGTAAATTTGGGGAAAAATCACAACAAAATCTGTTAATTAAAAAGTTTGGGATCAAATAAAGAGAACCGAGAAAGGTAAGGAAATAAATAATGAAGATTTGATCACAGGTAAACTATACATCGATCGCTCTCAACACATGATCGAACGATGGATTGAATCAAAGATTAGTAGAATAGGTGGCGAGGGTCTGAGGTCACCACGATAAGTTTGATAACATAGATGATTTCATTAGGAAATTTGGCAGTGGTGGGTTGTGATTTGCCGAGTTGACGAGCACCGTTGGTTGGGATCTCACGTGGACTGGATATGTGAGGTAGGAGGAGTTTGTCTATTAGTTGCAGAGCATGACACTGGCTGAGACTGAAGCGCAGACCATGGTTACAGACTGAAGCTTCCTGTCGCTGTTGTCGTTGCTGTCAGAGTGAAAACCTCAGATGCTCTTAATGAGGTAAAAAGTGATCTAACATACTCTCACAAAATCTGGAGTACTTTTATTTATTATGATACTCTCAAGAGTGATGGTTAATGTTGAAAATGCCCATGACCGATTTAATGAATTGTTTAATGAATAATTCAAAATAATTCTGAAATATCTCTCTCCAAATTATACTAAATTGATCGATATTCATCGAGCCGTCTCCGAAGAGTTCTTCTTCTGGAGTATTAGTCGAGTCCAGTCTTCTCAGAACATTCCCTTGTTCTTCCTTGCATGTTATTGCTATGTCGTCGCTTGGATGCAATCATTGAGCTTTTGATTCCGTGTAATAGGGTATGTATCTCAAATCGTCACAGGCATTTCGATTAGATAGAAGATTTCGTATTTGTGTATGAACTAATCGAGGAAGATCGGAAAGTTCGTATTGAATGTCGGGAATCAAAGGTTTTGAATTGAGAAGACTCGAGTCATTGTAACTGGAAATTTCTTATTCACTAATTGAAGATCAGAAAGGAATGAAAGTGTGGATGGTCTGTTTATTACTCAATTGGATAATCAACAAATAATCAACAACTGTATGATTGAATGTCATGAATGAAAGGACAATTCAATCAAAGAAGATTAGACGTTGGCCGATTACTAATTGACTACTGAGACAACTGTGTAACATGGTGTAACGAAACATAACTTTGATGGTATAATTGTATAACCAAGTATAAATTTAGGGGTTTAATTTTTTTTTATATTGAGACAATGAGTCTTTTTTCGACGATCATACACTTTGATTATGATGGACATTATTCGAAGGATGGAGATGATTATGAATGGATTCCAACCGATGGTCGTTTGTATGCTATATCCTTTAAGACATCATCGTTGGAGGAGATCACTTATTCGATGTTGAAGGAGAAGATATGCAGGAAGATGGAAATAAATCCGTTTATGAAGAGGCTTAGTTTGGGTTACATCCCATTGGTAGTGGAACCTAAGAGGCAATCATATATTTTGGATGATGAAGATGTGTTTGTTTATCTAACATCAGTGGATAGAGAGCAAAGAAGAAGTATTTTTCATGTGGAGGACATCGAAGAATTGCAAATAGTTCAAATAACCGAGCAACTATCAAGAGTCGTAGAGAGCTCTTG